GGGGGGGGGTCCAAAGAAGAGCTGAGGTTCTTCTGATATAATTACAAAAAAAAAAAACAATTTTGAAAAAAAATTATACTGCCCCCACCCCATAATATTAAAACGTTATTCCTGTAATGTTCTCCCAGGGGGGGAAAAAAAAAAAAACTTGTAAATGTCAAATTCTTCATGGAAGTGTCTTTTTCTCCAAATGTTCCAACTTTGTCAGGTAAATTGACTCTTTTCTTCGACAGGAAATTGAAGTTATGCTTTGCAATTTAAGAGTAAAATTATTGATTTTCATTGAATTGCGACATTGTTCTTGTTTTATGCAGTACCGCCAAAAGTGACCAAAATTAGTGATGCAGTAGGCCCAAGTGTTCACCAAAAATGAGTTGTTTCTCAAAAGCAGATTTGATTATGTAACACTGTCATATTATGCAGTTTGAACATTAACAATGCGCTCAAATATATAACAATTAAAAAGAAATAAACAAGGGAATTGTAACATTTCTTATAAATTACAAATGTTATATACAACTGAATTGTACATTGGCTTTTTCCTCCTCTGTCTGGTTTATAACGCACTTGCACTTTCTTTGTCCCAAATTTGTATTCCTCCTCATTTTCTTGCCATTATTTATTGTGACTTGATCATATAATTGTGTGTGTCAGGTTTGAAATGTGCTATTTCATGCCAATCTTGAATATATATCATTTTTTCCGTGTACCGCACTTTGAGAATCACTTCTTTTCAAAATAATCAGGCAATTAGGAAATGTTTGCAAAAGTTGTATTTCTTTGGAACCCCTCTGACTTTTATGCCTATTTGCCGCTAATTTGCCATCTCATGCATGCAAATGCCTTTTAGTTTGAATTGATTTTTTGCTGTCAAATTTCACCAGAAGGAGAAAAAAAGATCCACACACGAAAATGACTGAAGGCTTTTTAATAAACAAAATCAACTCCCACAGATGTTTGCCAGAAAAGTGTGTATATACACAGTATATAGAAAAAGCTTTTTGGATCAATTCCCTTCCAAGTAGGAATAAAACTGTTCAGGAATGTTTAACAGTCCGGATTCTTTCACAAAATTGTGACGGTCCTTCCGGTCCGGGCTCACCTGCCACATCCACCAAAGGTCATCAAAAGGTCATCTCAACGGTCCAGCGAGCGTTTTTGGATAGCCTCTACCACGACGGTACGTAGGAGGGCGATGACGGAGCGAGGGTCGTCGCTGCCAATCACGGCGCTGCCCGAAACGATCATGTTAGCGCCAGCCTACGCGTGACGGGAGAATTTTTAGAGTTGGGCTGCGGTCGGCGGGATTCTCGGGGGAAAGGCGTGTATCATTGTTCACCTCAGCACACTTGTAAATGGAGTCAGGGCCCACGCACAAAAATGAGTTTGACACCCCTGCCTTAAAGCAATCAACATTTTCTTCTGTCAAATCTCGGAATCGCCTAAAAAAAACAAAAACATATGGGTCTGGCCTAGTACTAACAAATGATGTGAAATTTAGTCCTGCCTCCAAGTATAACTCACTCGAGCTCGAGAAGCTTGATGACCATTTATGTGTGGTTTACATCATCCGTGGCAAGTTTGACAAAGTTGGGATGGCTGTTTGTATTTATCGGAACATAAGACATCAGCTTTTGACATCGTTTACCACAGCACTTGGCTGCCAGGCAAGACGGCCAGTGTTTTGTGATGAATTTTGAGCATGTCGTATTTTGATGGGTTAATACGCTCCTGCGTGCGCAATCACAAGCGAGCTCGGCGGCAACAACAGCGGCAGCGAGCTCATCATCTCCTCTGGGGAGGGCCAAGTAATTATGACAGAGAAAGCGAAGGCAAAGACTCGCATAATGTTCCTTTGAGTGCTGAAGAACAGCGGAGGAGGCCCGTGGAAAGATATTTCATACAATGCTCGAATAGAAGGAAGAAGGGCGAGAGGGAATGAATGCAAGGGGGAATAGATTCAAAAAGCGGCAGAGAGCAAAGAGAGCAAAGAAGAAGCAGTAAGTCTTGCCTCCTGGGATGCGGCGCTAATTCAAACAGCCTCTTTTCATTAGTTCGCTGCATATTTGACTACTTCTCATACTTGCCACAGCCCTCGTGTGAATATGGGGAAACTCACAGTCTCGTTTAATAGCTCAGGTCAACTTTGCACATGGAGGATCTACAAGATGTTCAAACGAGGGTTTGCTTTTTTGGGGGGGATCACATGAGGAGATTTGGGCTGCAAACGATTCATAATTCATGTACTTGATGTAAGAGGCCACAATCCACTGTTATTTCAGGGAACATCACCGTCCTGAGGGACGGAATGAAAGACGAGCCGCGTCGTATTATGTTGGCCACAAGATAACCAAAGCCGATACAACAGCTGCGACGACAGAAAAACATTTGAAGATGCTGAGCTGAATGTTCACCTTTAATTTCTTTTGAGGTTGTCCCGGTCTTTTAATGACCATTTATGTTCATCTCTACAATTTGTCATCCATTCTTTTTTGGTCACAGGAACGTCAAGCTGCTTGGAGATGGTCTTACCGTCTTTCCCTTTAAGGTGATAGTCGATCATTTTATTCCTAATGGCCTGAGAAAACGCTTTCCTTCACTTCCTCTGGTCCGTGTTTAATGTGGTACACGTCATGGGACCAAACACCACAGTGTCCACTCCTCAGCCTTGAAATAAGCCAATTGACGGATTACAGTTTTGAATACATCTGGTTTAAAGGACACTCTACACACGTCTATTACTTTTCACAAATTCACATGATCCGTGACTACAGTGGGTTTTGCAGTATAGTATATGTATTACAATAAAATGCGAATTATATAGATTTGAAATGTGTGCTGGAATGACTCACCAAGAATCAATACTACTTCCGTCTCTGGCTTGAGGCATATTTCTTTCCAGTAAAAGGCACTCTAAGAGTCATTTGACTAATATCATACATAATATAATCGCGCTGAGCAGAGAGCGTCATTAGCAAACTTTTGAGTGCGGGTATCTTGTCAAACTTGGTGTGGCGGCTCTTTGTGTGTGCGGGACTTCGAAGGGAGACTCTCTGAGGTGAAACTTATCACTCAGGAACTCCATTAAGTGACACGCACCGAGACGTGGCACATCCGCGTGTCCGTCCGTTCGTCCGTCCATCCATCCGGCGACATTAGCAGCGCCGCGTGTGACGGAAGAAGGCACCTACTTAAAAGTGACTTGCTTGTGGCAGAGGAGTAGAGGCTTTTTTTAGGAGCTGACCTCCGCCAAGGCCCAAACCACTAACAAATGTGAAACAATCATTTTTCGGAGTGTCGTACTTGAAGTTGTTGACGGTAGCCGCCGAATGCTTGGTTGACATAAAGCAATTAACATAAATGATGTGCCTCTATCCAAATCAATTATTAAGATCCAACAGGTATTTCCAACCGCCCCCTTTGCAACGATTTGCTCTTTTTTACCCCGACTACGTGTGTCTTGCGGCTTTTTTCTCGTGAAGTTACAACTTTCTTGTAAAATTATGACTGAACGTATTTTCCGCACTTATAAGGCGCACCTAAAAGCATACAATTTCCTCAAAAGCCGGCAGTCGACTTATAATCCGATGCGCCTTATATTTGGATCAATATACAGATTTCTCAGTCGTCGTATTTTAAATGTTCTGTAAAGCGCTTTGTTACAGCTGCAGCAGTTGTGAAAGCATGATATAAATAAAGCTGTATTGTATTGTTTTCCTTGAGTATAGCTCCATCTAGTGGATGCATAATGCAACCACAGCCACTATTGTAGCTTCTATTCATTCTATGCGCCCGATATACAAAAACAGTTTTAAAATAGGGCATTCATTGAAGGTGTGCCTGATAATCCGAAGCGCGATTTGAATTCTTGTAAAAATTCAGACTTTGTTCCCATATTACAGCTACGTTTTATTTGGGTGATTTAGGTGTGTGTGTATGGTCATAAAGTGACGGCGTTCTTCCCGTAAAATTATGATTTTATTCTCACCAAATTTTGACTGTATTCTCATGAAAGGGGAACTTTCTTCTTCTAAAATGATTTGAATTCTCGTAAAATGCAATTATGGCTTCATTCCGGTAAAATTGAAACTTGATTCTAATTACTGATTTATTCTCACAGCATTTAACCTTTTCCCCTTATCGCAATGACTGATTGAAATTGCAACATTATTTGTCTAATACTTAATCTCTACTATTATTTTTCTGCTTCAGAAACACAAATATTTAAATGATGATGATGATGATTTTTGGACTTTATTTTGTTAAAATTCCCTGGTTATTTTCCTCAATCCTGCTTGATACTTGTGATTGGTTTTACTCGCGCTGATATAACTTTGCCCTTGAAGCAAAACCCCATTCATTCTCTTCAGCCCTTATTTTTTCCCTTCAAGTTGCGTCAGTTTTCTTGTAAACTTTCTTCCAGAAAACCGACAGTGTTCTTGTTGTTCTTCTGACTTTATTCTCATGATACGACTTCTGGTACAATGATGTCTTGATTGCACAATATTGAGCTATGGGGGAAAATCAGGGTGCTGTTTGTGAGTGCAAATGACTGTGGATGCGGTTGCCATGGCAGCTGAGCAGGAAGTTTCTCTCTCTCACTCTCTCTCTCTCCTGTGACTCCAAGGTACAAGTCAGTTGCATGTACCTGCGACTTGCTCCGGCTGCTGACATTTGCATGCACGTCGCCGGCAATCGGCTGCAGAGACGAGGAAATGAAGCGGAAACAGTCGACATACAGTACGGTGTGTATGAATGTAAATGATGGCGCTGACAAGCCGCTTTCCTGTCCGCCTGTGCTTTCAAAACATGCGACGCCAGACATTCGCCCCGCAATCCTTCGCATGGGGATTCCAGTTTAAATATTGACAAATGTAACATACAAATATGTAATGACGGTGCACGCATTCGGCCGATGTCATGTGACATTAAAAAAAAAAAAAAATGTCATCAATCATTGAACAGTCTGTGATTTGCCCCACAGATACATCGCTGCTGCATTATTGAGCGCCCGTTTGAAGCATGTCGCCAGTAATTCTGATCGACAGCGGGCACCCGTCCTCTGCGCAAGACACGGGGGACTCTTACCGTCGGGTGTCTTCCCCCACGTTCCGGTCAGGTACGAGATTACATATCGATCACGGATGACCTTCAATCAACTTCTGCAAACAAGCAAGATGGTGAGTGATGAGCTCAAGGAAGCCATACAGCATGTAGTTGTTTGACCTTCAGCTAATTTGAATTCATGTTCATGCCACACTGGTAGAGGAACGGCATCTCTGGGAACTCGGCACTGGGTGTATGATGTCAGTGGGCCGGCTAGGACCACACATTATAGTGGTCTTAATATAAATCTTTTTTTTTTAACCACTAACTTTTAAAAAGTGCAATATGGGGCTATCTTTCTGAGGATTCTTTTTTTCTCTGATGTAGTATTTTTTTGGGGGGGGGTCCAAAGAAGAGCTGAGGTTCTTCTGATATAATTACAAAAAAAAAACAATTTTGAAAAAAAATTATACTGCCCCCACCCCATAATATTAAAACGTTATTCCTGTAATGTTCTCCCAGGGGGGAAAAAAAAAAAACTTGTAAATGTCAAATTCTTCATGGAAGTGTCTTTTTCTCCAAATGTTCCAACTTTGTCAGGTAAATTGACTCTTTTCTTCGACAGGAAATTGAAGTTATGCTTTGCAATTTAAGAGTAAAATTATTGATTTTCATTGAATTGCGACATTGTTCTTGTTTTATGCAGTACCGCCAAAAGTGACCAAAATTAGTGATGCAGTAGGCCCAAGTGTTCACCAAAAATGAGTTGTTTCTCAAAAGCAGATTTGATTATGTAACACTGTCATATTATGCAGTTTGAACATTAACAATGCGCTCAAATATATAACAATTAAAAAGAAATAAACAAGGGAATTGTAACATTTCTTATAAATTACAAATGTTATATACAACTGAATTGTACATTGGCTTTTTCCTCCTCTGTCTGGTTTATAACGCACTTGCACTTTCTTTGTCCCAAATTTGTATTCCTCCTCATTTTCTTGCCATTATTTATTGTGACTTGATCATATAATTGTGTGTGTCAGGTTTGAAATGTGCTATTTCATGCCAATCTTGAATATATATCATTTTTTCCGTGTACCGCACTTTGAGAATCACTTCTTTTCAAAATAATCAGGCAATTAGGAAATGTTTGCAAAAGTTGTATTTCTTTGGAACCCCTCTGACTTTTATGCCTATTTGCCGCTAATTTGCCATCTCATGCATGCAAATGCCTTTTAGTTTGAATTGATTTTTTGCTGTCAAATTTCACCAGAAGGAGAAAAAAAGATCCACACACGAAAATGACTGAAGGCTTTTTAATAAACAAAATCAACTCCCACAGATGTTTGCCAGAAAAGTGTGTATATACACAGTATATAGAAAAAGCTTTTTGGATCAATTCCCTTCCAAGTAGGAATAAAACTGTTCAGGAATGTTTAACAGTCCGGATTCTTTCACAAAATTGTGACGGTCCTTCCGGTCCGGGCTCACCTGCCACATCCACCAAAGGTCATCAAAAGGTCATCTCAACGGTCCAGCGAGCGTTTTTGGATAGCCTCTACCACGACGGTACGTAGGAGGGCGATGACGGAGCGAGGGTCGTCGCTGCCAATCACGGCGCTGCCCGAAACGATCATGTTAGCGCCAGCCTACGCGTGACGGGAGAATTTTTAGAGTTGGGCTGCGGTCGGCGGGATTCTCGGGGGAAAGGCGTGTATCATTGTTCACCTCAGCACACTTGTAAATGGAGTCAGGGCCCACGCCGCCATCTACCTCGATGTCCAACGAAGGGAACTGTCGCCTCAGCGAGCTCACCTACACACAATTTTTAAAAAAGCGGATACATATATTTTTGTGGCTGAACAAAACAGTCACCTATTATTAGGTTTTAAGAGGCGTCTTGTGTTGCTGACAGTACCTTAGGCATCATGTCCTCCATGAACTTCTGTCCTCCGAAGCCAGGTTCAACAGTCATGACCAGAGCCATGTCAATCTGGTTGGCCCATGGGGCCAGCATTTCAACTGTAGTACCGGGCTTTATGGCCACTCCCACCTGCACACAGGCACCGCCACAGACTAGGTTATATCTGTGATGTCGCAAAAGCAGTGATTTAGCTTCATGCTGAAATCGTTTGACCAGACGTATGTGCTTGCACACTGCAAATAGTTTGCTGAAGTCTGACCTGTGACTGTGAGAGAAGTTTACTCTTCGACAACAGCCATGCTGTTTAAATTACATTAAACTGTTGAACATGTTAATTGTTAATTTATAGTGTTCCACCACATTTGCAATTCACCTTTTTTTGTTCATGTGGAGGGGCTATTCTCCTTTATTCTCACTTATTTTCTGGGGTATTAAAATTACAAATAATGTATTCGGATGAAAAATAAAAATCTGACATTTTATCGCCCATCTATTCCATCTTTTTCATCGCGTCATGTTTGTCACCTTCATGCCACTCTCGCGGATCTCTTTGATGAGGTTCCCAGGGTTGCTGGTGGCCTCCAGGTGGAACGTGTACTGGTTCGCTCCGGCTGCAGCCATGGGCTTCACCCACTGCTCGGGCCTCGACACCATCATGTGCATGTCTGCAACAGCCACATAATTACGATAATACACGTGCGAGTTTTGAATTTGATCGTTAACATAGGGAGGCTGAAGAAATTCTCACCAAAGAAAGGGTCTTTGCCCACTGACTTTCGCAAGCATTCCACCATGGGGTGGCCAAACGTGATATTGGGGACAAAATGGCTACAACAAAAAAGAGAGACATCAATATTGCAGTTTGCGATAGATAGGTGGATAGATAGATAGACGATTCAAAATAGTAAGATATTCTAATTTGATTATATTTTCATGAGCAAAAAAATGTGTCAGTATTGCCACTGGTCATGTGCTAATTTTGATATTCACTTTTTTTTTCCCTGCAATCTGCAATCCTGCAATGAGCAATCCTGTTAAAGTCCTTCGAGAGTGACATTGTTTTTTTTTGGGGGGGGTTTTTTGGGGGGGGTTGTTTTTTAACAAACCATGTGTGATTATCTGGTTCACTTCATTCAGGTGGCATTAAAAAAATGACAGTATGAGCAAATAGTTTCCCTGCTAGGTGCCCCCTCTATTTTTTTCAATGTGGAACTTCTCCGACTTTTAAAACAAACGTGTGGTAAATCGATGGCAAGCTCAGTTCCGTCTACAAAAAGGCAAGCAATCAATTGTGGCTCTGTTGATCCCACGGAGAAAGGAATTCCTTTGTACGGTATGTCTGTGCATGTTCCTGAAGACGTGGACTCCGGACTGGTTTATCTGACCCGTCACCTTTGCAGGAGAAGAACAGGAACCGGTACAAGAGACACTGTTGTTTTCTTTTTCCTGCAGCAGCTGATTATTACGAACTTGGTTCAGCTCCAACTTGGGATGCATTATCTACCTTTTTTTGTTCATGTGGAGGGGCTATTCTCCTTTATTCTCACTTATTTTCTGGGGTATTAAAATTACAAATAATGTATTCGGATGAAAAATAAAAATCTGACATTTTATCGCCCATCTATTCCATCTTTTTCATCGCGTCATGTTTGTCACCTTCATGCCACTCTCGCGGATCTCTTTGATGAGGTTCCCAGGGTTGCTGGTGGCCTCCAGGTGGAACGTGTACTGGTTCGCTCCGGCTGCAGCCATGGGCTTCACCCACTGCTCGGGCCTCGACACCATCATGTGCATGTCTGCAACAGCCACATAATTACGATAATACACGTGCGAGTTTTGAATTTGATCGTTAACATAGGGAGGCTGAAGAAATTCTCACCAAAGAAAGGGTCTTTGCCCACTGACTTTCGCAAGCATTCCACCATGGGGTGGCCAAACGTGATATTGGGGACAAAATGGCTACAACAAAAAAGAGAGACATCAATATTGCAGTTTGCGATAGATAGGTGGATAGATAGATAGACGATTCAAAATAGTAAGAGGGAATTTCTCCATTGTGAGACAAATAAAGGTTTTCTTCTTCTTATACAAGTGACGGGCAAATAGAATCAAAACGAACGGCCATAAGAACGAAATGATGAAAATATTTCGTGAATTTTGTCCAAACGAAGAGGTTAGTTTACTTTTGAGCACCCCCTGATGCCCTCGTGCACGAGACTTGAGGCTAGCCGTTAGCATGCTAGCTAAACTAGCAAAAAAAGAAGTGGAAAAAGCTGACCCGTCCATGACGTCGAGGTGCAAATAGTCTGCTCCACACTCCATCATCCGCACACACTCGCTGCCCAGACATGACAGGTCGCTGCTCAGGATGGACGGGCCGATTTTAGCACTGTACGACATGATCACACAAAAGTCTTGACTACTACCAGCCGATAAATTGGCGAGGAGGTAATAATGTTTACAAGCAGCCAGCCAAGAGCAACTTCTGGTGCAAGACTGTCAAAACGATTTGGTTTTATTTTTATTATTTTAAAAAATGCCCCGATATATTTCCTTTTCATAGCCTATATTATAAGTGCGTTATTTTTGTTCTTTAATTGTGGGAAAATGAAAGAAATTGGCAGTGCAGCAGATTGAATATAATTTTACTTTAAAGGGATAAGCTCCCGAAACAGGAAATACAGCTTAGTGTCAGCCTGTGACTTGATAAGTGCAAAAAAAAAAGAAACTGCCTAGCGCTTTACTTCCGCCTTGAAAATAAGATAATAACAGTTGCTCGACGCTTGATGGCGCATTACTCCAGAGGTAAGAATACAAATACAAGGCATTCATTGACACCGTCACTCAATATCGGACCCCTCTATTCGTCTTGTTTATTTTTGATTTTTTAAGGTCAGCTCAAACGATGATCCTTCTACAATATAGATAGATGATTAAATAACATGTCTGTGACGTGGTTTGGCCAAAATACCATAAGAATAAAAAAAAATAGCATACTTTCCACACCCTATTACTGACTTGCTGGGATTAGCCCGTTTTTGTTGTTGTTGTTGTTGTTTTAAGTACTATTATGTAGCTCCTGCTGGGCCAATGATGACTTTGATTAACTTGATGCTGGCAGAGAAGCCTGAGCTGAGCCAGTCAGGCTTCACTTGCTGCCTCTTGTCATCTCACTGGCAAGCATATGCATAAGAGCGAGCTGGATTTCATCAACAACTGTGTGCTGATGCTGTGCCCAGAGAGTGTAAAAAAAGTTGAGTACCCGTAAAGACCATAAAAGGTTTGCCACTCATGAAGGGAGCAGTTCGTCCACTATACTGTTTATACTATGTGGTACATGCATGCATTCATCAAACAACTGAATGCTCCTCCAGCTACTCGGAAACTAGCTGTAACAAAACGCTAATCAATACTCGATGCAACTCATCTTACCTTGTGGCTTTGACATGTTATCATGGTCGATGCATCTGTGGGCTTGTGGGTGTTTCTGCATGGTCATGCTTGTGCATGATAGCATATTGGACAGTGAAAAGTGTTACTGTTTTTGTCCAGGCGAGCTGATCATTTCATGGGCGCTTTTATGAAGTATTTGTGCGCCTTCTCATGCTCATGGGGATGTAAAATCTGACATTAATGAGTTTGTCCCGCCTTTCACATTACCCCAGCAGAGATGGAAACACATGGTGGCATGCGAGAGATGATCTTTGAAACTCGGAGAGAGCAGAATTGGAATAGGATGGCGACACATAGAAGAGGCTGCTGGTCATAAATAGCCTGCGTGAGAAACTGTAGAGGGACTCTTCAGCACAGGACAAAGAAAGTGGAAGAAAACAGCTTACAGTCTTCTGTGTAGATTGCACACAAGATGTGGCGATCTCCAGTTCAGAGGTCACTAAAGTTGGACTTGCCTCACCATCTCTCTTATGGTTCATCCTAAACGTGTTGCTCATTCAGTTCCCACACGCCAAAGGCATCCAAGCGTGCATTATACACATCATGAATTCTAGTTACGGAAAGCCCATCTCTGCCCGTGGCCCAATACTTTTGTCCATACATTCATTTTCTATAATGCTTATCCTGTTCACACTGAAAAGAAAATACAATCCACAACAAAAGCAAATTCATAACATTACGAAAATGACACATTTCGTTGATGAAAAATAGTCCGAACCTTACAAGAATGAAGCTGAGTAGTCCAAAAATGGACTGGATTGCAGGCAAAGGTGATCCACTGCCTTTTATCTTATCATAACACATTCCTCACCTTTTATAGTAAACATCTACAATCTTATTCACACTCTTTCCAATCCCTTTAATCTCCGTACCAGAGCTCTCCATTATTTTTTTCTCTCCAACTATTATGATTCTCATTATTTTTATTATTATCATCATAAGGAAGGAGGTTAGAGCAGGACACATAGCGCAGCTTGCAGGATGGTGACAGCCTGTTCTGCTCATTGTTAACTGGTGTTTCCGGAGGAGACTGATATGTGCGCACGCTCAACGTTTCAAAGAAAACACCCACGCACACATACTGATGTGACTGAAAGTTTAAACACATGTAACAAAGTTTAAAGTGAACAATATGCACACACACATAATTCAAGCCACCAATGGTGTGATTTACGAGGTTGGAGTTGTGAAATGAGATGTTCAGTTCGTAATTTTAAAAAATCACAGGAGGCAGTTAGGCAGCGTCGGTACAAATGTACTAGCTGGATTTATTTGCTTCATTAAGGAGCACAGGACTTTGAATGTTGGGTGTAAATTCTCCTTTTCACGCTTTGCGAAATATATGTATGTTCGGAAGGAACCTCATAAGCCGACGGATGAAAGATTTGTGGTTAAACGTGTTCCTGCTCCTCAGTCATCCGTAAAGGCAATTTCTTCTCGTATTTTCAATCAATTGCGGTCATACCCGACACAATGAGTGTTTTTCATTTCTATATATATTTTTTTTGGATGAAGTAATATATATCGTGGCGGCCGAATGAAATATTATGAAGTTGCATGATTGTTTTTATGTTACATGTTCTGTGAAGCGATTTGTAGCAGCTGTCATGAAAGCTGTAGCGCTATATAAATAATAATAATGAATTTTTGAGCCAAATTAGCTAACAGAATTTAAAAAACAGTTGCACAGCGACTTAAACGTGACCCAGCTTAAAAGTTTTTGAGATACGGCCGTCGCTCGAATGATTTTTTTTTAGGTGCGAGCAAAAATTAAAGTTTCAAGCAATAGTTATTGTGGCAGCAAACTTGACAAGAAGAAACAACTTGTCACATTGTGAACAAGTTTTCAAAAAAGAAACTCATAACAAATATTATATATGTGCTATGTTTGTATATATTGCCTCCTGGTGATCATGGCACGCACACAAAGAGGATCAGCATCATGTCCATTGAATTATCATGATGCACAAACTGTTCTAATTCTTTTGATTCTATTATATTCTGTTCTATGTTTTTATAAAGTACAATACAATAGAGCTATGTTTTTATAAAGTACAATACAATAGAGTGGTATTTTTCTTATAAAAAAAAAATACATGACAGTGTGTGTTTTTGGAGATGCTGGAACGGATTAATGGCCTTGCCATTCATTTCAACAGGGAAAGACAATTTGAGATTGGAGTGTTCCGAGGTAAGAGTATGGTCATGAAAAAAAGTGAACTTGTACATCAAGGCACCACTAGATTAAAAAATATTCTAATTTGATTATATTTTCATGAGCAAAAAAGACGTTTCAGTATTGCCACTGGTCATGCGATAATTTTGATATTCACTTTTTTTTCCTGCAATGAGTTTTAAAACAAACGTGTGGTAAATCGATAGCAAGCTCTGTTCCGTCTACAAAAAGGCAAGCAATCAATTGTGGCTCTGTTGATCCCACGGAGAAAGGAATTCCTTTGTACGGTATGTCTGTGCATGTTCCTCAAGACGTGGACTCCGGACTGGTTTATCTGACCTGTCACCTTTGCAGGAGAAGAACAGGAACCGGTACAAGAGACACTGTTGTTTTCTTTTTCCTGCAGCAGCTGATTATTACGAACTTGGTTCAGCTCCAACTTGGGATGCATTATCTTGACTGAGCGCTTCCACCTGCTTCCTGCCAGCAGTTGATTGGAGCCTCCCGAGTGAAAGCTTCAGGCCAAACAGCAGGTTTAGCATGTGATGCTCAGAAAGAGACTGTTTTGGAACGTGTGCCCTTGCAGCTTCGCTCTTCCTGGCCCTTAAATGTCATACTCCGAAATGGAAAATATGTGTTTGGTTCAGCCCTTTAATGTGTAGTACTCCATTGGGACGTATTTTATCACGACAAATGTTCAAGACAATTATATTTGATGAAATGACGAATAGACGGGAATACAAAATAAAAATACTGAATATGGATCAGTGTCCTTCGCCCTTGCATGAACCTCTGACTGAGAGGGAAATGCTCTGCATCAAGTTGCCATGGAAACGGAACATCACGTATGAGATGCAAATTCTGCCAAGCAACAAAAATAATGTTTCAAAATATCAGAGTAACTCTTTGAAAGCGTGGCTTTTTCTTCTTCTTGTTTTAACAAATCATATATGAGAAAGGACATTAAGAGCAAGTACGGTGGTGCCCTGAGATCCGTGACCACCCTTAACACATTCGGCTCTCAAGTCATCTTTCCCATTTGAAATGAAGGAAAATGCCATTGATCCGTTCCAGCGTTTCCAAAAACAACCCAAAAAATAATATTTGTAAGATTTACTTCAATGAGGAAAAATAGCACTCTATGTTGGCCTTTACTGTACACGCAGTAATGACATAAATTATGTAGAATGTAAAGAATTCAACAGTTTTTGTCTTAATTTTTGCTTGAATTTGGTGGTCATTATGCTGCTAGTCACATACACAGTTGCATATATGCTTATATCTTATATTTTGTATTTTTATGTTTCATTCTGTACTGTGTATAGTTAAATTTTTTTATGTTGTGCATGCAAATATTTGTTTTCTCCTTGCCCAGACATGACAGGTCGCTGCTCAGGATGGACGGGCCGATTTTAGCACTGTACGACATGATCACACAAAAGTCTTGACTACTACCAGCCGATAAATTGGCGAGGAGGTAATAATGTTTACAAGCAGCCAGCCAAGAGCAACTTCTGGTGCAAGACTGTCAAAACGATTTGGTTTTATTTTTATTATTTTAAAAAATGCCCCGATATATTTCCTTTTCATAGCCTATATTATAAGTGCGTTATTTTTGTTCTTTAATTGTGGGAAAATGAAAGAAATTGGCAGTGCAGCAGATTGAATATAATTTTACTTTAAAGGGATAAGCTCCCGAAACAGGAAATACAGCTTAGTGTCAGCCTGTGACTTGATAAGTGCAAAAAAAAAAGAAACTGCCTAGCGCTTTACTTCCGCCTTGAAAATAAGATAATAACAGTTGCTCGACGCTTGATGGCGCATTACTCCAGA